TAAAATCAGTCCCCATTGATCTTCCAATATCTCAGCCTTTCTATCTACTGCCCTACGGTTCGCTCGAGTGTCAGCAAGTTAAGTGGATGGTAGCAACGAAGGAATGGATTCGCTATGGAACGCGAAACTATCAAACACAAACATCGTGGCGAACTGGAAAAACTCCTTACATCGAGGCTGGAAAGAATACAAACAGAGGTCTGAAGATGTTTTACTGCCTCTATGCTAGTAAGTATATACTGCAACGTATTAAGAAATTAAAAATCACTGTAGAAATGACGCGCCTTTTTGAAGTTTCCTTCTCGGCAAGATGCGATTTCCTTTAAAAACGACAATAATACTTTTTCAGGCTGTAACCAAACTTTAAACAACACCAAAGGTGTGTTCCAATCTCCTGGGTACCCTGGAAAGTACCCGGATGGACAACTATGCTCCTGGAGGATTCTGGTCCCTGTCAATCACACTGTACTTGTTCATTTTAAACAGTTTCACCTCAGCGATGATAGCAGAAATGGAACTGATGTCTTAGAACTTCAAAGGCTTGAAAACAAAAGCTTTGTTTTAAGTGAGGTGTACCAAGGATATCATGAACCCTTCAAGGTTTCCTCGACCAGTGATTTGTTGTTCGTGTTTCGTTCAGATAAGGCAAACAGTAGTCAAGGATTTCATGCTCAATACGAAGTATTTGTACCTGGTAAGTTACTTTTTAGATGTTTGGTTGGTTGGTTGGTTGGTGGGCTGGTTGTTTGGTTGGTTGGTGGGTCGGTTGGTTGGTTGTTTGGTTGGTTGGTGGGTCGGTTGGTGGGCTGGTCGGTTGGTGGGTCGGTTGGGGGGTTGGTTTGGTTGGCTGGTTTGATTTGGTTGTTGGTTGATTTATTGGTTGATTGCCTCATCATCATCTTTTCGGCAAATGTCGAGATACCACTCCTGCACAGCCTGCTGGTCGATTAATCATCCATTATTATGGGATAGATAATAAAATTTCATATCGATGAATAACAGAGCCAGTGGCCACCACAGGAAGACCATCCACCAGCACTTCACCTTCAACAATCCAAGAACCAACAAGAAGCCCGCACAATCCAACAACAGGCTTTGAATCTGCCAATGAAACAAAGAACGAAGCATTGAAAGATGACRGCAAAGGGACTGGAACTATACTCCTTATAGTGATACCGCTGGTTTGTTTTATACTGATCGCGGTTGTTGCTGTTGACATTTACATCAGATGCAGGTATGTACATATCTTTACGGTAGAAAGGGTGTCGTACTGACTGACAATGACCAACAATCTCTCAAAATAGAGTGATACACCTACTTGCGAAAACGTTGTCATAAAAAAATAGGACATTTGTATTTTAGTAAAAAGGAATAAATTATAAAGACAAAAGAAGATCACTGAGGCTGAACGCTTTCTTTTGTTTTGTTTTAATTTATTCCTTTTTACTAAATTCGAATGTTCTATTTTCTATGACAACGTTTCTGCAAGTAGGTGTATATTGTATTTAACTTTTAACAATTTACGCATGGTATTCACTGTTTTATATCGTGATAGGTCAAAACCGCGAAAGACGAAAAGCAATGGYAATTCGAGGTAAATAGATAAATCAGTTTGSATCGAAAAKGATTTTGAACAAATTAGGATAATCTAACTCATAACATTCACTTTTTTCAGTGGTTTTGTTACAGACCTTTAATTACACTGCTATATAATCGACCTAGTTACATCATCTTTTCTTGATTATAGAAGTGGTGGTGATCATCTTGGAGCCGCCGACAATCTTACCTACGAAAGGTTGGCTATCATCTTGTTTCCTTTAATTTCTGCTCTTACAGCTTCGTTGTTGTCTTTCTCTTATTCTTCCATATCTTGTACTTTCGTTTTTCTTTCCATCTTATTGTTCATTTTCCAACTTTTAGTATTACAAACGTATATATGCCTTGTTCTTGCCTTGTTCTCGTGTTGTTCTCGCCTTGTTCTCGTGTTTTTCTAGTTGTCCTTCTTGCCTTGTTCTCGTGTTGTTCTCGCCTTGTTCTCGTGTTTTTCTAGTTGTCCCTCTTGCCTTGTTCTCGTGTTGTTCTCGCCTTGTTCTCGAGTTTTTCTAGTTATCGTCCTTGCCTTGTCTCGTGTTGTTCTCGTGTTTTTCTAGTTGTCGTCCCTCGCCTTTGTTCTCGTGCTGTTCTTCTCTTGCGACCTGATCTCTTCCATATGTTATGCATATATCGATTCACAATTGACATGCACTTTGCTATCTTAACAGTCCAGCGGTAATGCGGATGAAAAATATTAAAAGCACAACAACAGACGACAAAGAACAGCAAGACACCGACAACAGTTACGAAAGACTCAGCCACATCGCACCAAGACGTGAAGTACCTGAACAATATGATGAACTAAATAGATCATCACAGCCAAGTTCCACTAACAATATGTCCCTACCTGAGAATGACCCCGAGAATTTTTATCATGTACTCGAGGGTACTGATCAGTCGGTAGATGACGAGACGATGTATCAAGTAATCGATAAAGACCCGTGTGAGGATGATTTGTACGAAAGGAATGTTTTGTACGACAAGTAAGTTGTATTTTGGATGTATTTGGGATCCCTGTGGATATGGTATGATGAAAGGAAAGGAATACCGTAAACTGATTGGTTGATTAGATTTAAATGTATAAGCACAAACCGCGCAATCGCAAGAAACTGTAATATCAATCTCGTACCCAGAGCCTGCGTTCTCTTTCGGTCAGAGACGAGAACGCTGCTGACCGAAAGAGAACGCAGGCTCTAGGTACGAGATTGTTGTAATATATAAGTCAGCAAAGGGTCTTGCGGAAAACGGAAACGACAAAAAATAAATTATAAATACCGACAAAAAATATTTTGTTTATTTTCTTGTTTATAAAACTATTATTTGTTCTTTGTTTTTTCAGTGTGGCTTAGATAACTTCATGCCAGGGAAAACAAAAATGCATACAGGACGATAAATAACTCATAAACAAAAACATCAATGTTTTAATTGCTGGTTTGATTCAATTAAACTTTCATTTTATAATTTTTATGATGCCAGATTGCCAGATATTGATGATTGCAATAATGATAATGAAGATGATGGCGATGAAAATGATAAGGGATGATGATGATGACGACAATAATGATGATGATGATGATCATAATGATGATGATGACAATAATGATGATGATGATGATGATGTCAATGATGATAATTTCAAGGTCTCTTGTTTATTCCTTTTTTTCAGTCCACTGTTAAAATTATAATCCAGAAACAACTATTCCTTTCCAATATTTGATCATAAATCACTCGAGCCTCATATCAAATCCAATAACCCCCATTAAACTCCAGCAGCGCTTTATACAAGAACAACAACACCTTATTATGCATCTCTAAGTATCTCACACTTGATGAGTTCCGGGGCGCTTCAAAAGACGATTAGAACAATACACACCCTTCATACTCCTGCAGCACTCCATGCCGTGACATAATGGCGGACACGAAACTTATCGTCTATCTTTTAATACTTTCCTACTGTATGTGCTACTCACAAGGTGAGAATATCTATTAATACAGTTGTTTTAATGTATAGTGTGTGAATASTGGTATTTAAACTGCGTTAATGACCATGTAGCGTGATGGAGTTATATTATTACTTTGTGGTGACATTCACGGGTCTAAATCAGTGTCAATGATGTGATTTATTTATATAAAGATTGAATTCATAGGTGAGAWTTATAGATGGTGTGATCTAGGGTGTAAGACTAGTAGCTTTTAACTAAWGTCATTGATCTTCTAAACGATGAGAAATTGAGCAAGTTACTTTGTTATTGAATTCAAGACATGTGGCGGCTGAAGTTAATGTCTGACTATTGATTGATTTTCTCAATCGCGTTATCTTTATTGTTCTAACACTCGCATGTTACGAGAAATATGTCTATACATCCCGTTGACGTTAGGAGCGTATAAATAATCGCAAGTTTGGGATGATAAATTAGTCTTAATAGATTCTTAAACAATAGTTTATAATCCATGGAAAGTTACAGTTGAATAGGTCGATWTACTAGGAACAATATGCCTGAACTCAACCAAGCGTTCAAGGTGCTGAGATATTTTTAAACAAATATAATATGTACACAATTGAAATCGAATAAAACCAAAATGGCTTCTTTATGTTGCTGGGGATGTTATCTCTAAAAATCAATGTTCTTATCTAAAATAGAGAGTTGTTTTATTGTTTTTAATGATAACAATTTTCCTATCAATTTCCTCTTTTTATAATTGGGTTACGGTGTGACCATCATTCTTTGTTGGCCACAATGTACAGGAGTGTCTGCTCTAAGCAGGATGCATTCGTGGCCTATTTGTCCTATTAGGTCATCAATGTGTGCCTGTTTTAAGAACAGTCATACAACAATCCTAAAGAAACATGGGGTATGAAGTCGTAATTAATAAGTATGGTGAAGTGCGTTAAAAAGGTAGCGAATGAATGCTACCAGTTGTAACTATAGATAGCGATGCATGTTATTAAAAGCACATATGGTCCACCAGCATTCAATGCGGTCGTGTTTTAGATTTTTCATTTATGCAAAAATAAGGTGACTTCAAATATCCATTCGCAATTCCTTTTCATCCGTCATTTTAAAGATTGCATCTTACAACATCTCCATTTATATAACATTAAGGGATAATAAAAAAGAGCAAGTTTTTTTTCTTGTATTACGATGTATTTTTATTTTCAAACATAAAAAAATCTCGAAAGGGATGCTTGTTAACCATGGACCTTAAAAGCCGGAGAAGACTGTATCAATTTAAGCAATTATCATTATTGTAATCATTTTTTTTGATATTTTATTCTAGGTTCTCTTCTTACGAATCAAGGAAATAACTTCATTATCGGTTTCTCAGCTCAACACTTTTCCTACTCAACCAACGGTACTAACCGCATTTACCTGACATCAGATACGGCCGCTACCGTACGTCTACGAGCTCCAGCAATCTCCCTYGATACAARCATAAAACTATTGCCCGGTATACCCCGGCATGTGGACTTACCAGGTAAAGCCCGCATGAAAAGCAAAACAGGTGTCGAAAWGAAAGGTATACAATTAACTTCAAAAGAGAACTTTGCCGTTTACGGAATGAACTTGTTGACGAAATCAAGCGATGGGTTTCTTGGGCTTCCTGTGTCGGCCTTGGGGACTGATTAYGTYATATCCACGTTCATTCCAGTGATGAAATCTGCTTTACTAGTAGTTGCTACTGAAGATGATACAAGGGTTGCAATTGATCTAAAACTCCCCTCAGGGGGTAAGGTGTCGTACAGAAATCGAGACTATTTTGACGGCTCTAGAATTTTAGTAATTTTGAAGGTGTTAGAAGCATTTCAGATTGACACAAACGCTATGGTCGATTTATCGGGTACAAGAGTTACTAGCGACAAACCCGTCTCCGTCTTCTCGGGCTGCGACTGCGCGTACGTACCAGTGAATAAAGGATCATGTGATCACCTCGTGGAGCAGATTCTCCCAGTAAAACTRCTAGGGACTCAATTCATTACTATAGCAACAGCCAATCGCACGGGGGGAGATTTATATCACGTGATAGCCGCTCAAGATGGAACGGTTGTTACTGTTGATGCTAAAGCTGTCAAGACGATTCAAGCTGGACAGCGGTTTGAACTGGATTCGAAATACAATGAAAGTCACGTKATTTCKACTAGTAAACCTAGCCTTGTGATGCAGTATGCAAAGAGCTATAGCGTCGATAACAGCATATTTGATCCATTCATGTCGACTGTGCCTGCGATCAGTCAGTACAGCAACGATTACAATGTATTTATTCCGGTTCATTTATCAAATCAGCAGTTTTTTAGCTTTGTGAGCATCGCTGCAAAGACACAAGAATTAGATAAAATTACAATCACCCAAAACAATCATCCTAATTTGACTCTMCGATTCTCAGACTGCTCTGTAGTACAAGGTTCGTCTTATTCTGTCTGCACAAAACAGTTAAATCAAGGAATTTATCGARTTTTTCATCAATCGGTCACAGAAAAGTTTGCTCTGGTAATGTATGGAACCTGGCGTAGAGAGTCCTTTGGTTTCCCTATGGGACTTCGATTTGAAAGTCCAGGATGTAAAYTAGGYSACATGAYACCAGGGGATGGGATTGACAATGACTGTGACAATTCAACCGATGARGAGATTTTCAACAACATGGACGACGACGGAGATGGGCGAATTGACGAGGACTTAGCAACTAAGCCTCCAAGCCTAACAGTTCCAAACAACATCACTMAATTGATTTGTAAYAACTCTTCTTTCGACCMTARGGACATCGGCCAGGCAACTGGTGAAGCGTACGATAAGTGCAAACTACGCGGACATGTGAAAATCAACTTCACGGATATTKTSAACCGYAMTGAGTGTCAYCTTTCCATTGCTCGCAAATGGACAATTACCGACGGGTGCTCGAACATCAAAGAAACTAATCAATACATCTTCGTAAGATTTCCGTCAAAGACAATTGTAGAGTTTCCCAAAGATTTGTCGATGAGTTGCCGAGAAAAGACCGRGCTCTCTACGAGTCATACCGGARAAGCTAAAGTAATTTCCAATAGGTGTGATACGAAGGTAAAGATTCGTTACCAGGACTCCATGTTTTATCCATGTACACTGACGRAGAGAAAGCTGGAACGAGATTGGATTGTCAGTGATGAATGTGGACGTTTGACAAAACACAAGCAAGTTATTCGTTTATTGCCCTTAGGTAAGAAATAATTTCACCATTTTTCATCGTTGTTCACCTTTTATATTCATCAGTTTTCTTTCTTTCTTAGCTGTACAAATCCCACGGACATTGAGAAATTTCAAAATTTCATTGAATGTTCAATCTGATGTCTTAACCAAGAACAATGAGACAGTCGACCAATTAATAACTAGAGTCCAAAATCAGGTATAGTAATATTTCTGGCCTGTCTTCCTGGTCTTCCTGGTTAAGTGTGGTACCACATCTGCGTTTAATTTTAGCGTAAAAMCAATATAATTTTTGATGTGACGTCATATTGAAAGAKAATGATTCTTATTGTTTTTTTATTCTCAGATCGATAAAACCATAATGTCTTCATCACTCGCGCATATTTATTTCGGAAGCTCCATTTCTCAATACAGGTACGATCCAAGTTCTTAGGCTTGTTTTGTTTAGTCATTGTTTAATCGTGATTATTTTTGCTTTTAGAACAATTATTCCAAACCGATCTGCAATTTTCATCGTTAGATTCCAGAATACTTCATCGCCGATGCCTGATGAAATCCTTACTAATCTTCGTATATCGTTTGCGGGGATACTTTCAGATATTGTTAACAACATTACAGTACAAGGTTAGAAAACTCTCTCCTTTTTAAGGACGATTTAGACGGCACAACTTTTGTCTACTAACAACCATCGCATGCAACCTGCGTAAGTCATGTCTACAACTGTCGTAGGGATATCAAATAATTGTTTTTAATCTCTACGACAGTTGTAGCCATATTGTAAGGATGACTTAAGCAGGTTGCATACGATGCCGGTTGTTGACAAAAGTTGTGCCGTCTAAATCGGCCTTTATGCTATCAAAACGTCTGCAGCAGGGATGAATWCCGCGCGCAACTAATGCAAGAAAGTGAGAATTTTATCTTTTTTTTTCTTACAGATTACAATGAATGTGGGTCAATTAGTTACAAAAATTACTGCGCTAGACAAGCCACTTGCGTTAACACCTTGGGCTCATTCAGCTGTGTCTGTTCTCCAGGTCTTGTAGGCGATGGTTTCGTGAAATGTGATGGTAGGAGACTGAGGCAGTGTTTCCGTGTTGTTACTATGACAACATGTATATTGTGTACATTAAAATCAGTATTTTTGTAAAAGTTTTATTATTGAACTGTTTCAGCTCCTGCTCCAGTAATTAACAGAAAAGCAAACATAGGTGAGAATTGTACGATTCATTGTTTTGTTCTTGGAAGCTTTCACTGGAAGAAAATCGCGCGCTTTAAAGGTTGTAAATTTGATGTAAATATGATGTAAGTGTCCAAAATTCTGTAAATTTAATGGAAATCATTTACATCAAATTTACAGAATTTAGGACACTTACATCACATTTACATCAAATTTACAACCTTAAAGCGCGCGATTTTTTCCAGTTTATATGGATTAAACTGAATCAATTTTTATAAAAAAATCCGCCAGAAAAAATATTTGTCACTATTTCAGCTCCTCCTTCGATAACTTACATAACAGTATACACAGAGGCAGGTGTAGGCGAGAATGTCACTATTATATGCGATGTACACGGAATACCAGACCCTAAAGTCTCCTGGAAGACGGCAAAAGGAAGGATATTAGACAAAGAAGTCGGTTTACGAGACATAACGACGCTTGACGATGGTACAAGAAGAGTCCGACTAAAAGAACAACAAGAGGATAACTCTCTGTTAATAACCGATGTTCAAGTTGATGATGGTGGGCAGTACACTTGTATGGCGAAGAATTCCTTTGGACATATTCGCAGAGAGGCAAATCTTACCGTCAGAGCAGGTAACGTACGCAATCTTGCATTGGAGAAGACTTGGTAATATTCATTGATTAAACTGAAAAAAGGTGTTGGCTATAAAATAAACCAGGACTGTTTCTTTAATTTGGTGCATATAATTTAGTGCGAATAATCAGATATAATTATTAAGTAACAATGCGCTAAAGAACTAGGGAACTCTCTATTGTTCTGCGGCATAGCGAGTTCCCCATGTACGAATGTCTTGGTTTTCACACTGATTATGTATTAACCTGTGGGTAACACATTTTTGAAATAAAATGTGGATAAACTCTATTTTGAAACAAAGTTTCTTTTGTATTAAAAGCTCTTATCCAATCATAAGCACTCAAAACAATAGCCAAAAGATGCTTCTAATTTGCAATGTTTCCCACATAGAATTGCCTTAATATTGAAGCTAAAGAATGCTTCCTGCATGAAAGCGAAAACAGACGCTAAATAAAATATTAGAAAATTCCCTAACTTGCGAAATTATAGCAGATTTTCATGTTTTAACCAATGGGATGGATGGATTATACAATGCACAATTAGCACCTTCTTGCATTCCTRTGCCGTTTGCTTCCCTAGTTCTTACTCGGGGCATTACTTAATCTTTGGTCTTTTTCTATAGATCGCATTGCAGTGGCAGCCTCGGTAACTTTGCTTGATGAGACCTTTAGCGATAAACTAAAAAACCGTGACTCCTGGCGATTCCGTACACTCTCGAGAAGACTTACCGAAAAGGTAAACCAAAACATCAAACTATTGGACCTTTGTCAAAAACAATTCACGTTTATCAGGATTTAGAAAGACAATTTGATCCTTAATCCAGCATACTGATTTTTTCGTAGTTGATTGAACTTTTCAAGGATGTTCCTGGCTTCCAAAAAGTGGAAATCTTGAAGTTTGAGTAAGTTATGATAAGATATGAATGTTAAAGGCCACGTGCACCCAAGAGCCTTTGCGATCGTTTCTTTTGTTTTACAAATGATCTTTTGTTGAAAGTTGATTTATGATTGGTTCAAAATCAAAGATGGCGAATACTCTTTTGGAGAAAATTGCCCAAAGAGCTTGGATACACATGGGCCTTTATTTAAGCAAGTTTTTTTTTACTCAGGGCAGTATTTTGTGCGGTGGTTCATCAATTCATAAGACCTATTTTCTTATTTGTTCTGCACACAGAAAAGGAAGCGTCAAGGCATTTTTCCGTGTGGTTGCCAAGGGTGACGAATCACCTGACACACGTCAATCAATCAAGCAAAAGGTCGGAAAGATTTTAAGTGATAGAGCTGCATCGGGCTACATTGGTGATCTAAAAGTGGAAAAATCTGCTAAATTACAGGGTAATTACTTAAAATCCCAGTCAAACGTAAGGATATATCAGCGATGTTATCCAATAAATACTGACAGTCTTTCAAYATATACAGGGAGRCCACCAGCGCCCGCAAACCTTCAATCCAGCGATGTCAAAGAAACATCAGTAAAAGTAACTTGGGAGCCTCCTTCATTTCATAAGATGTACGGAGTCTCTACCTATACAGTCCAGTACAAAGAATTTGGWTCAAATGARCAYCCYTGGAGGGCATCATCAGTCACTAGTCTWACTCATACTCTAACGAGGCTAAAGCCTGGGGCGAGTTACATGGTGCGAGCTAAGTCTAAGAATGAGTATGGAGCGAGCGACCCGAGCAATGTATTGGAGATAACGACAGTGAAAGGTGAGTTCCTACCCTTCCCGGCACTCCATAGWTTCTTAGTGAAAACAAAAGATTAAAGATGGCGGCGATAACGACTTGAAATATCTTCAAAGTTTTCGTTGTTGTTTTTTTTATCAGAGAGAAGTACAACAGAGTGGCTTGTTCTTATCCTCATTCCAATACTCTTGCTCATAATYATCATATTCGTAATCGTATGCGTCGTAAGGGTAGTCAGAAGGAAAGGGAGATACAATCCTACAGCTACAGAAGAAGTGGGCATGGTTCGCCTTCAGTCAACGGTTAGTATATGTTTACATCATCCTTCTAAGTCAGGAAATAATTTCCAAATATTTCGCCTTCTTAGCCTGGCCCTCATCAAACAAGTCAACCAAAAAGGTCATGGCGTCCATTTCGCTCCAACAAGTTCACACTGGAACACAGTGAGATTGACTCGGACAAACATTACACAGGAAACCCAATGAACATTAAGAAAATCAAAAGAACATCCGARACGGAAGAGCGATTGCTTCTGGAGCCTGGGGACCAGCGCTTATGGCAAGAAATATCACGTGATCAGATAACTCTGGGGGAGGTACTTGGGGARGGAGAGTTTGGTAAAGTATACAAGGGAAYAGTGACTGACAGTACTGGGAAGGAGATGACATGCGCAGTGAAGAGCCTTAAAAGTGAGTAGAGACTGCGATACTWTCGGCCAGCAGCGATACAAATTAAAGCATGCCTTTTTTTCACTCAACCTTATATTGATTGGTTCACGTGCTTTAGGTACAGCAACAGAATCAGACTTTAAGGACCTTCTTAACGAACTCGAGATTATGGCCTCTGTGGGCCACCACAATAATGTTATTGATTTGATTGGWGTTTGTGCCTCTGGAGGTGAGTACTGGGAACTAGACTGTCCACCAGTCACTTGCTCGGTCGTACGTTCACGATTGAAAAGTATTATGGGTGCTAAAAAAATCTGAATAATGCTCATCAAAATTGTTTACGTTGAAAGGTGAAATCAGTGAATCTTTCACAGGGCCTTTGCTTGCTGTGGTAGAGTATGCAGTCAATGGGAACCTACTYAACTACCTTAGAAGACATCGCCGTCAGAACTACGAGAATATGGCGGACTATATAGTCGATATATCCGCAGCAAATAGACTCAAGTTTGCCTGTGAGATAAGCAAAGGGATGTCTCATTTAGCACGGATGAAGGTAACACGTTATTACATCTCAATTATCTAGTAAGTGTTTTAATGCTTTATATTCACTTGTAGTGCGTCCATCGTGATCTCGCAGCGCGCAATGTTCTCCTGGGAGAAAGCYTGGTTGCTAAGGTGTCCGATTTTGGACTTTCAAGAGATGTTTATACTGATAATGTTTATGAAAAGAAAACAGGGGTATGTAAATTATAACAATACACTTGCTTATCCTTGATGTTATAAAGTAATGCACTGAAAAAYATCTAARGCCTCCTAACCGTTTATTCATCTGTRYATGTTAGGGMAAGCTGCCAGCGCGCTGGATGGCTTTAGAGTCACTAGAATTYGGAATGTACTCTAGTCAAAGCGATGTGTAAGTATTATGAGAATGGTTCATAACTGCTAGTTCTACTAGAGCCCACATTCCTTTTAGTCAGCACAGAGATAGCGCTGGCTATGAAAAACGCGGGCCATTAAACAATAGTGTAATATTTTGATCTAATGCTCTTCTTTATATAGATGGTCTTTTGGTGTGGTCTTATGGGAAATAGAAACTGGAGGTATGCATATATTGCTGTGTTRCAAGAATGATTTAGATGTAGTCCCTTCTAAGAATGTTATTATGTAAGATTGTATCACGATGTACTTATTGAATCGGGTATTTTTCTRTTCAGGAGCAACGCCCTTTGCTTCGTACACAGTCGCCGAGATCATGGAACATTTCAAAGTCGGTCGTCGACTGGGACGACCAACAGACTGCAACAGACACTTGTAAGTTCAAATAATACTTATCTATGATCACCAACTTTGAGACCGTTGAGCAATTACCACTCGAAAATTCATAAAATCCATTTTTTTCCATTATTATTTTAATATCAATATTTATCATTCTAGATACGCAATGATGTTACGTTGTTGGAATTCTAATCCAGACAGACGACCAACTTTTAACACATTAACACACGAACTTAAAGAATTATATCAACAGGAAACTGTAAGTCTAATTACAAAAAAACTCAATTTTTATAGAATCACCTACGCTGTAAACGTAGAATGTGTAGCTCTCCAATTTGTCTCGAGACATCCCTCCTCGTCCACTGTACTATTGAGANATTTACTTCATAACCTGCGTTGAATCTTGACCATCACTCAGCAAAAACTGGAATAGTAGTTGCGTATATAAACCACTGAAGCCTCCATATTGTAAACACAAAGTCATTAATATCAACATTTCTTAAATAAGATTTTAAACGGTCCCAATCAGTCCAATGACGCCAGTGTTTTTCCTCGTTGTAGGTTACACTATTTATGGGTGTTCTTGAGTCATGACAGAACATTTCAGGGTCAAAAACAGCCAAAAACATTTTTGGAAATTGTCCTTCGTGTCGTTGTAATTTCTCGCTTGAAGTGAATCACTAATGAATTTCAATGAATTTTCAACAAACTGACGCATGCGCACGCCAAACGGCCCCTTGTTCATAATGGGCTAATGAAGGTTTGAAAACGTTAATGAATCTGCGCCCAGTTATGCATGATTGTCCATRTCTATGCTAAATATGTTAATGATTCTCCCTTCACGCTCTTGAAACTCCCTAAGCGTTAATGAACGTTCATTCGCGCTAAAGACAATGCAGTTTCGCTTGATTGAAAGTCCCTTCGCGGTTAATGAACAGCAAAAGGTGTATTTCATGTAACAGTTAATAATATTTAAGCGTAAATATTGTACACTTCAAGAAACTGTCTTTCGGACATTTCGAGGTCGATGTTACTAAACGATGCCTAATTATATTACTACATGTGTACATTTACCATTTACTTCATGACCTGCGTTGAATCTTGACCAGCACTGAGCAAAAACTGGAATAGTAGTTGCGAATATAAACCACTGCAGCCTCCATATTGTAAACACAAAGTCATTAATATCAACATTTCTTAAATAAGATTTTAAACGGTTCCAATCAGTCCAATAACGCCAGTGTTTTTCCTCGTTGTTTTTTACACTATTTATGAGTGTTCTTGAGTCATGACAGAACATTTCAGGGTCAAAAAAAGCCAAAAACATTTTTGGAAATTGTCCTTCGTGTCGTTGTAATTTCTCGCTTGAAGTGAATCACTAATGAATTTCAATGAATTTTCAACAGACTGGCGCATGCGCACGCCAAACGGCCCCTTGTTTCAACGTTATCACTTAGCGTCACTCAGACAAGGCTTGTCTACATAGCACGTTTGATTTTATCAGTGAAAGCAAGGACTCTTTTAAAACGTTCATTGTTATATTAATTACATGACCTTTTAGGTCAAGTTTATTTTAGTCTCAAGAGACGTCTCAAGAGAGTCTGGATATTTTGAACTAGACGCTCTTATTAGGCCGTGAGTTCGGCTATTTTGGAGAAAAATTAAGAAATATATATTTTAATCTAATTTTTATATTTTATGTAATATCCTCCTGTTTTTCTCAAGTTTCATTTGCATTCATGATATAATCATGTGATTAAACAGAATATAACATCATAATCTTTTCACTCGTGTCTATCAATTTTTCAAAAATAGCTAGTCCGACTTCACGCCCCAGGGGCGTCTAGTTCTTAACGAAACCAGTTTTCACTATTCTTGGTAGTCCTTGGCCAGTACGTACGAAAATTATATTATGAATTGATTTGAATTTGTAAAGATAATGTTTTTGAAGTCTCGGCGAAAGCTATTTGCGAAAGATTTCTTTTGTTTCTTTGCCAATGAAAGGCGCAAATTTCGTTTGCAATTGCACTGATTACAGCTTTTTCACTGCTCAGTCTGTTAAGAATTAATTGAGATGTTATCAGCCAATCAGAAATGAGTAATTTTTTCATGTATATAATTATCTATGAAATAGCTTCTCGATTTCTCTATTTCGTAAAGTTGATATTTTCACTAGTGAAAATAACATGCATCTCATAATTTCAGATTGTAGATACTACAAATTGCCCTCAAAATGATTACTACATCAGAGATAATCCTGCAAGTCCTTGCCTTCCGTGTCAAGATTGTCCTCACGGCCTAGGCTTTGTACCACCATGTGGTAGTGAATTGAAGAAAGCAGATGTTTATCAGATTGACTGCAAGCCATGCATCTCGGGTAAATCGTACTCCGATAAGCACGGTCCAGAGTCGTGCAAGTCTTGTAAAATATGTAGTCGACACGAAATCGTTTATAGTGAATGCACCACTAAGGCAGACACAAACTGCTCATCCACTTGTGAGAAAGGCTACTATTTTGATGGAAAAATGCACAGCTGCCAACCATGTTCACGCTGCTGTAATGATACTAAAGACTTGGTGGAGTCTGAATGCATAGCTCATGGGATGCCAGAGACCCATCGCTGCTCTGTACATCGAGCTTCGGATTGCCATGCAACTACCCCTGGGAAATCAAGACCATCATCACCATCAACAACAACAGCAGCAACAGCAACAACAGGATTTCAAACTAGTGAAACTGTTATCAACCAATCAGATCGACATGTATGGGCTAAAAGAATTGCAGGCGGTGCAGTGGCATTGTTTTTTATCGTTATTATCATTATCATCGCTGTTTCTTGTCTACCCACACGTAGACATTTACATATAACTAGACCATTCAGACGCGAAAGCAACATTGAATTTCATAAACCAGTAGTAGACGAACTGCCCCTGAATCTGCGTCTGCCGATTTATAATGATAACGCAGTCGTAGAAACAGGCATAGACACTAGTATCCCCACGTACTTGGCAATGCCTTCCAGAAGAAAAACGACAAGTCATTTTAGTAACCCAGTGGAAGACGAGCTGACCCTGAACCTGCGTTCCAGACACGGAATGCCGAGTCATAATGATAACGCAGTCGTAGAAACAGGCATAGACACTAGTACCCCCACGTACCTGGCAATNTACAAGAATGATTTAGATGTAGTCCCTTCTAAGAATGTTATTATGTAAGATTGTATCACGATGTACTTATTGAATCGGGTATTTTTCTGTTCAGGAGCAACGCCCTTTGCTTCGTACACAGTCGCCGAGATCATGGAACATTTCAAAGTCGGTCGTCGACTGGGACGACCAACAGACTGCAACAGACACTTGTAAGTTCAAATAACACTTGTCTATGACCTTGAGCAATTACTGCTCAAAAACTCATAGAATTGCATTTTTTCACAATTTAATTATCATTAATTATCATTCTAGATACGCCATGATGCTTCGTTGTTGGAATTCTAATCCAGACAGACGACCAACTTTTAACACATTAACACACGAACTTAAAGAATTATATCAACAGGAAACTGTAAGTCTAATTACAAAAAAACTCAATTTTTATAGAATCACCTACGCTGTAAACGTAGAATGTGTAGCTCTCCAATTTGTCTCGAGACATCCCTCCTCGTCCACTGTACTATTGAGATCACGTGAATAAAATGACCAATCAAATGGCGGCAAAACTATACCATACTCTAGGTAGGGGTTTGAATTTTCCCTTTCTCATAATTTACTGTTTTCGACTTTGTCTTTCAGATGTATGTTAACTTTAACAACATGGAGGATACCAATAGAAATCAAAAACAGCTACCGAGTACCATCCCTGAAGAGTGTTAGGAGAACGCCCAAGGAATTGAATGCTACAATCTTTTGAAATATTTTTTAGAATTTTTGTTAACAATCCATTCTGCAACAACTAAGTTACCATATTATTATTTATTTCAACTTTAAGTTTCTATAGTTTCAGAACTTTGTACTGAGTTGAATTTACTTACTAGCTGCGCGAAAAGCATTTAAAAAAATGTCTCTAATTTGTGAATGAAAGTATGGAAAATGAGGTAACTTCGAATACCCATTCGCAATCCGTTTCCATCCATCGGTTTAAAGGTCGAATCTTACAGTATCTCTATTCATATAGTATAAAGGGATAATAAAGAGTAAGTTTTTGCTTATATTACAACGTATTTTTATTTTTAAACATGAGTAAAAGCTCGAAAGGGATGCTGGTGGACCATTTTCCTTTAATATGAGCTGGTTTTGATTGTTAGTTCTGTTCAGCATAGAATACGTGATTGAAATATCATCATAACGGTCTTCCTGTGTTGTAATTGACGGGCGAGTTGGAAACTGGACACTAAATAAGTCGTGCATGAGAAAGCAAAGCATCATTTCAAGTCATTTCGTACGGAAGTATCAACATCCTGTAAAATCTACACAGATTTAGATTGTAATTGTTAACAGTGGATGAAAAATGATCGAATTTAACAGAATGACAACTTTTTTCTTCTTCATTATACTTGTCGAGGTAAAATAATTCATAAATAATATCGAATACAAATTTTTACTTATAGACTAATTTGTGCCGAGTAATCAAAATTGAAACATTTTCAATAACTTCACTGAAAGTCATTCTAAACTTGGAAAAAATAGGTAAAATATTGTTATCTATCCTGATCATAGGGATTATGTTATGGTCACACCATCAACACTGATCAACAGCACAATCTTAAATCTATAATTAGAATTTCTGATCGCCTCTCTATATATAGACTTTTAAAAATACTTACATAATTCACTAGTGTGGAACATTATTAGGATTTAGTATACTTTTTCCTTTTTACATAATGTTGTTTCTTTATCTTTTACTTATCATAACATTTTAAATTATCCAGTGTAATCAAAACTATAGCAAAGTTTGTTTATACTTACTTGAGCCACAGACAAAGGGTTTTGAATGCGTCATCACAATCCAAAACAAACAAGATGGATAAAAAAATCCGATGAACCGAATAACAATCTCCATAATTGTATAAACGTTTTATTTTTTTCTATTGTATAGATTATGTTATTTTTTTAATTCATCCACGCTAAAAATCTATGAAAATCAGTTCCGTTTGCTTTAATTAAGACATAATTCTTTTTTATGATTTTAGTATTAACTGTTGCCTGTCAGGAGATTCTATAAGTGAGGTCAAAAAAATAAAGGCCTTGTATCGACTGCACTATAATTAAAACACGCATAGTTTCAAGAAAGTTTGCAAAACTTTTAAATGCAATCTGAGATATTTGATTAAAACTTATATGTTGGCTTTTAAAATGTGTCTTATAATTTCAGATTGTTGATACAACCAATTATTGCCCTCTAAATAATTACTATATCAAAGACAATCCTGCAAGTCCTTGCCTTCCGTGTCAAGATTGTCCTCATGGCCTAGGCCTTGTACCTCCATGTGGTAGTGAATTGAAGAAAGCAGATGTTCTTCAGATTGACTGCAAGCCATGCATCTCGGGTCAGTCTTATTCCAATAAGCACAGTCCAGAGTCGTGCAAGTCTTGTAAAATATGTAGTCGACACGAAATCGTTAATAGTGAATGCACCACTGAGGCAGACACAAACTGCTCATTCACATGTGAGAAAAGTTACTATTTTGATAAGAAAACGCACAACTGCCAACCATGTTCACGCTGTTGTAATGATACTAAAGACTTGGTGGAGTCTGAATGCATAGCTCATGGGATGCCAGAGACTCATCGCTGCTCTGTACATCGAGCTTTGGATTGCACTCCAAAAACTACCCCAGGGAAATCGAGACCACCATCACCATCACCATCAACGACAGCGACAACGACAACAACAGTAACAGCAACAGCAACAGCAACAACAACATCGATAGCAACAACAAGCATTGTTGGAGGTTCACTCGGTGCGGTGGCATTTATTCTTATCACAGTGATCGCCGCATATTGTATCAAAAAGCGGTTTCGCCGTCAACCAAGAAATACACCATGCCAACGCGAAATGCAAACCCATTTTGAAAACCGAATTGTGGACAGCCCCTCATTTGTATGCAGTACGTGCACTTTTCTTCATAACGAATTAAGTTTACACTTAATGCTGAATACTCCGCAGAAAGATTATCGTGAAGGAGAAAAATGCGTTATTTCCTGTCAAATGCAGTGGAATAAAGCAAATCAAAATGAAATTTCGGAGGAAAATATTCTCGTTTTTACTTGGTACAAAGATGGCGCCAAGCTAGACGGCCACGATCATCTCATGGAATTAACACTCGAGACATTGAAAGTCAGTGACTTTGGGACTTATGAACTCACTGCAGAATGTAGTAAGCATCTGGATGGACTAACAAACAGTACCAAGACTAAATCGGAGTCGTTGTTTCTGGATGTTCTGCCTGGACCTGGAAGAAGTAAGTTAGACTGACTTGATTAATTTAAATTCTTTTTACTAATCCCATCGGTGTGAGAATTTTTTATTTATACATTTATATTTCCAAGGGTCTTCGTGATCACTTCTTTTTTATAAATCGATTTAACGCTCATATTGTAGGATACAAAAAGCTGAAAGATTTGCCTCCTCAAACCGTCAAAGAAGATATTATTGCATATCACTTATCGACCAAGACCCCTGGGATTGGAAATTGGAAGAGAGTGGCTGAGCTTTATGGAATACCTAACGAGGGTATTAAACGCATTGACCCAAGAAACAAAGAGGATGGAGATTATGGTTCTGCAATAAACACTCTTGAATATATCGAATCATCCTCCCCTAAAGAGACAGTCTACAATTTTTGCAAATGTTTAAAAAAGATTAAGCAGAATGCAATAGTGGAGAAATTGGAGGATTACTTGGTATGTGAAGATAAAGGACAATCTGAATGCTGAAGCTCCCAATGGCCGACAGTTGATAAAATCGATTCTGAAACATCGAAGGATGAACAAGAAGAGTCTGGGTTCAAACAAGGTAATGCCGTCACTTAGAGATGGTTTTCTCTGGCCAAAAGAACGGAGCCTACAAGGACGAGGGCTGCATCCCAGGTCAAGCAACAGAACGAAACACTGAATTGAACAGTGTCGACCCCTCCCCTCCAATGAAAATCCTGGATACGCCCATGTGACTGTAAATCATCATCCACTGCAGCGATTTAATTATTTGTTTTCTTTTTTGCGAGTAATCGGCTCGTTAGTATAGCTGTTTATGTAGCGCCCCAAGTGTGTTCGCCAGTTTCAGCCACTTGTAAACCTAATAATGTATTCAGTTTGACTTTCGTTTGTAGCAGTGGCTTTGTCAACGCTTTGGTGAGTTTTATGTGATTTCATTTAGTTTCAGACAGGACGCCAATGTGTAATTTCGGTAGCGTAGACTGCGTAGATGCATTTATATTCACTTGCGCCCCTGTCACTTTAAACCAGAGTCTCCATCGCAAACTTAAGCCTACAGCGATTGTGTCAAGTTTCAGGTACAACACTAACATGCAAAACCGAATTCGGGCCTTAGCCCA